CACACACACACACACACACACACACACACACACACACACGTTCCCAAACCGCCATGCCCGCACATGACTGAAAGGACACCGCGCCCTGAAATGGCCGACCCCTCGCATCCTTCCCCCCGCCCCAATATCGTGTCCCGGTGCTTACAGGCCCGAAAGAACAAAACGACCCCCCCCCACCCTGATACGTCGTCCCGATACACACGGGGCCGAAAGGACACGGCGCCCTGAAACGGCCAACCCCTAGCATCCTTCCCCCCCGCCCCAATATCACGTCCCGGTGCTTACGGGCCCGAAAGAACAAAACGACACTTCGAACACACACACCCCCCACCCCGATACGCCGTCCCGGTACACACAGGGCCGAAACGACAACCCCCCCCCGGGCCAAACCGACAACCCCCCTCGCCCCTAAACCCCATTTGACTGCATAGATCGCCGATAGGCCCGACTACAGCTAAACGACAAATCCCCCCACTGCCATCCGCGCGGGACCGTCGGGACTGCCCCGCCAGGGAACCGGGTCTCACGTGGGACCGTCACGCGAGACCCGCGTTTTGCTTTAGAGTATTAGGGAAAACGTCAATTCAGTGTGCACTGTAAACGAACTCGTGAATATAAAGAAGATGAAGATGGTCTGACTTAGTCGTTTCCCAAGGATTGAACCATTTCTATCCCAAAGGACCTTACCTATCTGTAGCTGTCCAAATGATTCTCATTCTCTATCTCTTATTTATTTTCGTCCAAGCTACCCTGAACTTAGGAGAATAAGAATAACTGAAAGCTATTTGCAACTGAACGCATCCTTTATCTCTAAGAAGCATCTGGGGTGGGGGTTCACTGCTTCAGGAGTCGACCCTGTTATCGACCCGGAGCGGGCGTTCTAGGGGGGGTACTTTGTCGATTCGGTGGAGACGGCCCAACTTCTGAGATCCGAGTCTTGTGCTCGGGCGAGGAGGAGTATTCCAGACCACTTCCTAGAGGGAGAGGCATGCAACACTTCAAGCAATGCCCCTTATTAAGAATCATTCGCAAAGCACCCTGTCATCCAAGAAAATTGGGAACATGTGGAGATGGGTATGCGTGTCTAATCTTAATTCAACGATAGGTGAAATGAGTGACTTTGGCGGCGTGTCTCATCAAGTCAAAACTGAGGCGGTCCGACTACCTTGTCGGTTGCATCAATATTACTGCCGGCAGCCAACTCCTAGTTGGCGATTGTATGATTGTTTTGTGGAGTTGGACCTGAGATGGTCGGATCGTATTTCGATCTTTGTGTTATTGGATGTATTTTATGATTATTTTGATCCTTTTAGTTATTATTTCAGATTGAGTATTTATTTCTATCGACTATGGTTGATCCTTTTGATATAATAATGTGTGGTTGTCATAATTTTCGTTTGACTATATGCTTAAGGGACTAGGATAAATTATGGTTTCACGCTTGGTTGAGACCGTCCTAGTCGACCGACGTTTGCTTCGCACCTGGGAGATCAGTGCCCTAGCAGCGGACGACGTTCGGGTCCGCTTGGCGTTAACCAAGCGTATCTATATTACAACGAACGAATAAACGCCCTCGGTTGATCTACCTCTGCGATTGCATTTAAAAGTTTCCGCACGTGGGTCAGTAGCTCGGTAGGGATATGCCCCTAAGGGTGGTGACAGCCCCTTAGGGAAGGAAAGCTTATGCCCCGCGGGAACCTATCCTGCCGTAGGGGATCGCGGGATATACAGCTGGCGCACCCGGTAAGAGCAGCGAAGGGACGACGCGACCACGGCCGTCTTGGCGGCTCACGGGATTACTTTGCGTTGTTCCCGAGTTCTCTCTTGATTTTGATTTTGTTTTTGTTTTTGTTTTACTCCTGCGTGACATGGTCGGGAGGGTTCCCGCACCTTGCAAAAAGGCGGGAGCCGATGCGCTCGACAACGTCTCTCTTTCTCTCTCTCTCTCTCTCTCTCTCTCTCTCTCTCTCTCTCTCTCTCTCTCTCTCTCTCTCTCTCTCTCTCTCTCT